GGAGAGCTGCTATTCAGAAAAAATAAAATAAAAATTAAAAGTGACAACAACAAAGTCTGACTGGAGCCCAAAATTGTGAAAGAGATTTCAAATGAACTCCACAGTCTTGTTTGTGGCAGTGTTTAATTTGTGATGGTGCAGAACTCAACTGGGATTAAGTGAAAGCAACCGTAGTATCAAATCATAGGGCTGGAAATGCTCTACCTGTAACAATCTCTAATTTAGGCAGAATATATGATTGGATGATTCTGCAGGTGTGATCTCTGCATACTCTATGTATTTGTAAATGTAGCATAATTTTGTTATACTTGGCAACTAACTCAGTGAACTGGTAGCCCATAATTAGAGCTGAAAGCACATTAATGTTGAAAGTGGGGTGACTGAGGTTGTCCTGTGTTTGTGAAGCCATACTTTAAAGGAATCTCATGCTTCAGTTTTGAAGACCGGTCACCAAACAAAGTAAGGAAGCAACTAGACTGGTGTTTGTTCTGCTATTCAAACTGTGTTTCTGACTATTTTGATATTAATTCTATTGACTACATGAGGTTAGCACTAATTGTAAGTAGATCTGATCTTTCGGCATGAGTATGCAATATCATTATATGGGAGTGAACCTAACTTATTTTGCCTGCCTTCTGCCTTCTGCAGGGCTACAACTGTAATGTACTTTGTAAACTGATGAAGCACTGGATTGATACAGCACTAATTCAAATGTTTATGATAAAAACAATAAGAACATTATAAAGAGGAATGAGAAATTGGAATGTCGGCAAAAGGATATTAAGCCCTACTCCTTTTACCTGCTGCATTTCTCTCTCTCTCTCTCTCTCTCTCTCTCACACACACACACACACACACACACACACACACACACACACACACAGAGAGAGAGAGAGAGAGAGAGAGAGAGAGAGAGTTTACCACTACAGCACTAAACTGATACAATACTAATACAGATGCTTACCATATCTTGTCAGTTCAGCATTATTTCACTTGCTAAACATTAAAAAAATAAGAGAAGGAATTTGAATGCCAACAAAGGAGGTGAATAAGAGAGTGGAGATAATGGCAGAAAAGGATGATGATGAAGAAGCAGCAGCAGGGGTGGTGGTGTGATGTGTGGACAATAGAAATGCACCCTCCCAGGATAATTAAACATCTCTGTATGAACTGTGACCGTGATTTAAATGCCAGGGTGCAGTATAGAAATGTTTGCATCAACCTGGTACAAGCTTCTGTGTGGTCACACCCTAAGATAACCTGTATAATCCCAGAGCAGAGGGACACTTGTCCTTGTGATAATGAGCCACTCAAGTAGTTAAAAATTCCCCTTTCCAGTCATGGGCTATCACACAGTTTATTTTTGGCCTGATGAAATATGAAAGACCTATGTATAAGGGTCACATTTGTGATGATACATTTTCATGGGTAACTCATACTTCAATGATGGTATTCGTCAAGGGATGAATGTAGACAACAGCCAGGCAGTTCTTTCCATGAAGAACTCTAAGCCAAAATAAATTTCTAAAGAGGATTTAATAAACAAAAAATTATGTTCTAAACTGATACATGCTATTTACAATATTTACCAATATTCGTACATTAAAATTATTTTCTAAAGTGCAAGGTAAGGTTATTTTGTTATATAGGCAATTATATGCAGACATTTCAAAGAAACTACTTCAGTCAACATATTCAGTATGAGGTCAAAGTGCAACAATATACTCTATTTACAAAGTTACTTAATTTCAAATAGCTACTAGAGCTTCTGGAGCTCATTTATGCAATGTCTATTTACAAAAATTAAACATAGTTTGTTGCAATATGTAGCAGTGCTGTCACACATGAAGGAGAGTTCAGCCACAAGACTTACTTCATGTGGATTTACATATGCTTCCATTAGATACAGGCTCTGTATCTGGAGTATCGCAACTGAAATAAATTCGAGATTGCACCAAAATTTTGGAATCGCGTGGCAGTGACCAGAAAAATCACAAATCTTTATTTCACAAACTCAAATCCTTTTTTTGAATCCTATGCCCGGCTCAAGAGGTTTTTCCAAAGACAAATCCTCCTGATTGCCATTTTGTCCCAAAATTGAGAGGGACGAAAATGTTGTTTACAGTGCCTCTTGGTTCAGTGGCTTCAAGAGCACTGAGCCAAGAGGCCCTGGCAATGTTATGTGTCGTGCTTGCAGTGGCAAGGCACGGGAGCAAAGCCTACATTGAAGTCGAGGCAGCAACGAGATACAGTGTCCAAATCTTTGATATTAAGAGCTTTGGGCTACCATTCTCTTCAGAACAAGATCTTTGTCTCCTTGCTGACCTTAGGTCCTGCTGCCAACACCACTTCCAAAAGGTTCAATTTGGAAAGGCAAAGGAGATGGCTGGAGAGAAAGCAGGGCAACCTCCTTTGGACTTCTTTTACTTATACATTTTATTTACTTAATGCGTTTTGACACCTTTCACTAGCCAGAGTTCTTTGGGAGATGTAAAGTGTGTTAATTACTAAACTTATGGAGTTTGAGCAAAAAGAAAATTCTCTGAAGACAAGCTTTCTCCAGTAATGCTTAGACTGCCCAAAGCAATTACAGAACTCATTTTGCCCACTTGTAGAATGCTGGGAATATCATGAACCAACAAAGCTGCCTTATAGCCCAGGTTTTTTTCTTCCAAGTGGCAGCAGTTCTTCAAGACTTTGTGAGCTTTACTAGCATAACCTCTTTTAACTGCAGATGCTTGGGACTGAATGTTTGTTTTATTTGATTTATACATATTGTTGAATGACTAAAAAAGTGATGGTTTTAATTATGCAGACGAGACAACTTGCCAGGGATTGTCGAAGAAGAATTGTGCTGCTGTATTTGTGTTTTCAGTAGGGAGCATGACACACAAGAAAGGGTTAATGCCCTTGCAATGCTTTTATGATCTACTCCGATCTGAACTAAACTGATAAATTTTTGAACGGGAGAATGATGTGTAATAATAGGCCTGGATGGTCAACAGTGTGTGCAGCTTGAAACAGTGACTAGAATCTGATATGTAATCAGTGCTTTTGAATAAAGTGGAAAACATAAAATTCCAGGTAATAGTACGTGTGCAATGTGCTGCAAGTCTTTCAAATCTGTATTTTGAGTGAGGAAGGAAATGCATAGTCATGGATTACAATAATCATGCTAAACATTTATTTTCATAGATTTGTAGAAAAACCTGTATTTAAGAAATGTGATTATTTGGATCCATTTTGCAGGAGCCACGTGTAATACCAAAAGGTAGAAAGACAGACATGCCAACAAAAATAGAGAGATAGGTTTTCATCTCTCTTTTTTCTCTTCTGAATGAAAAATGACTATTTCAAATGAAATATTTACTGCTAATAGATATAATAGGTTTTTGTTCAAAATATAAATTGTCAACCATTACTTTCTGTTTCAGTATGCTTCTGTTTCATGTGCAAGTTGATTTTGCTTAGAAGTAGTGTACCTCTTTTGCTGTTCAGCTTCTTTGCAGGAAGCCCCTTGCTGTCCTGCAAATTCTGACCCACTGTGGCTTGGCTGTCAACAATCCGCCCAAACAGTGGTGCCCCGCTTGACGATTACCCCGCTCCATGATGAAATCGCTTCACGATGAGGTTTTTGCAATTGCTATTGTGATCACAAAACAATGATTGAATGGGGAAAATCCATTTTACGACAATCGGTTCCCTGCTTCGGGAACCAATTCTTCACATTACGACTATCAAAAACAGCGGATCATCGGGTTTCAAAATGGCCACCCACTGTTTTCCAGACCTATTTCCGGAAGTCAGTGACCAAAAATGGCTTCCCCTATGGAGGATCTTCGCTGGTCAATGAGGTATTTCGCCCATTGGAATGCATTGAACCGGTTTTCAATGCATTTCAATGGGTTTTTTTCTTTCACTTGACGACGATATCGCTTAACAGTGATTTTAACGGAATGGATTATTGTCATCAAGCGGGACACCACTGTACTGGAATTTTGTATATACGTATTAATCACTGTTTCTTGTGGAAATTAGCATTTCATATATATTGTGCCTGTTGGCCAAGAGAAAGGCGACTTTCATTTCATTATGAAGCAAAACTGACTTGAAAGAGTTCAAGGAGTTAGGCATCTGGCTGCAAAGCCAGAAGTCGGGAGTTCAGTTCATCATTCTGCATCCCAGTAATGGAAGCTGGTGTAGCCTTGGGGCAAGCTGCACAGTCCCAGGGTGCCTCCAGAAGAAGGGAATGGGAAACCACTTCTAAGTGCTCTCTACCTTTAAAAAAAAACTCTAAAGGGGCTGCTATGAGTCAGAATGACTTGATGGTGCACAGACACATGCACGCATGCACACACGCACACAGAGTCACACATAAAATAGGACATTGCAGCAAAAAATTAATGGGAGATTCATGCCAATGTGTCTCCACTCTTTTTTTTTCTGGTGGCTGTGTGTCCTAATCTTAAATGGTTCAGTCCATATTGTGCAAGCCTGAAAAATCAAAGCCTCCAGTGATCTTTGATTTGGCTGTGCCTTAGTTATATGTTACATTAGGATCCATGTAACTTGCATGATAGTTGTACCACAGACACCTTGTATTTAGGGGAGGGGAAGGAATGTGAATCCAGAGCTTAGTTTGTTTCAAGCTGCTGGCATCTGCTTTCAATGTCAAGGGTTAATGCTGTAATATGTATGAACAGGGGAATAAACACCCGTGAGCAAGCAAAGTGAGCATTTCATTACATATGAGTGACAAGTGCCATGTAGTTGTTGAACAAGGCAAAGAGCATCCAGATCAGAAGATAGTGCTTCCAGACAAGACTAGAGCCTTGGTACATCTTTTTAAACACTCCATCCATCCATTTTAACATATGGTGTTGACTACTTTTTCTGCTTGGTGGAGGCCCTCATGTTCCCACACAGGTTCTGGTCAGTCCTTCCTGAATCCATGTGATGCTGTGTTCTGGTCCTTCAAGAGTATTGCCAGTCCTTCCTGAATCCATGTGATGCTGTGAAAAAGGATGAAGGCATCTAGCTTAAAAGGAAGGGCAGCTGGCAATTTGCCTTATCCTTGTTCACGGAACCATTTGACCCTTGGCAGACTTGGATCTCAACAACAACTATAGTAAGTTGTGAAAGAATAAGAAAATGATCCAGTTTTCTTCAGCAGTTTTTACATCTTACGGCTCATTGGAGGAGAATCAGTTGAAGACTTTAACCGCCTGGTCCTTGGGGTGGTTGCAGATGATGTCCACTCTGATGATTGCTTGCCAAATTGGATCTGAAGAGCATTCAGGATGTCGTTCAATTTTTGGTCAATTTGTGTGACCTGTTGCAAAGCCAAAAAGCAAAGCATATAGTTTATCACTTGCTCATATTTGCACTGGTGGATTGTGGGTGCACTACATAAAATTTACTACACCACTTCAACTGTCATGTGGGGTTCATCTTCAAATCCTTGGAATTACAATATAGCTACAATGCAGACAATTCTCCGTCAATTTCTACCTTATCACACCTCTTAAATTCCTTAATAGTGCACATTTGTTAAAATTATGTCAAAAAACTATGTCACACTTCTTTTATATCAGAAAGATTCTACGGCACTTTGAGATTGTGGTGATACACATTTATTGAAATGTAATCAATCCTTTTAAAAGCGGGTAAGTCAAACATTGTTTAATAACACCAATATTGTCAAAATAATATTTAGTAGCTAATTTTGACCAAGCTGAATAATTAGTACAAATTATTATGATGACTATTTTTTAATGTAAAGGAAGCTGTGCAAAGATAATTAAAAAATCCCACCAACCTATAAAAGTGCTCCATGCAAAGAGCCTCACAAAATTTCTGTGCTGGTGAGCTTATCCATGGATCCAAAATTTCTGACTCTGTTCTGGTATTCAGTTCTGTAATTGTGGGGAGGAAGCTGAGGATGTTTGGTCCAACTTTACACTCCCCCATGTTGCTAGAGATAGCTGGAAAAATGGATTAATTTGTCTTCAGCTGAAAGTGCTTACAGACTTCTATGTGATGGAAAGCCCTGGCTTATTACACTACCATGTGGTCAGATGCATTAATTTTAAGATGTTGCTGCAATTTAAGATGATGCATGATCTTTGGTTTGGCCTTAAACCTTGTATCATCCGCATCCAATGGTCAGTAATCCAAATCCTCTGCTATGATGTTTTTATGAAATACAGAAACTTGCATCTTGTAGTTAACATTTCCTTTGTGCTAAAGGAATTTAGTTCACTACAATATTCTTGGAAGACAGCCAATATTTTATTATTGAGGCATAATGCAAATGGGGTGTTCATTTTAATTTCTCAATTTCTTCATATAAATTTGCATATGCAGTCTTATGCTGACCATTAATTTCTTCTGTCTTCCATTTTGATGATATGTATGTGGCCATCCTAGCTGAACATAATGGTTTTACCAAGACAACCTGTCCGCATCTCATCTCTTTAATGACCACCATCCTCATGCAAAGCTTTGAGGAAGCCCAAGATGTCTATACTCTTGTCGTAGCAATTTCTCCATTTCTCCCCTGTATCCACAGCTGCAGCATGCATGCCAGGGACAGAAGGATTCAGCAGAATCTAGCTGAGGTCAAGGAAGTGACTTCAAAGTGAGCTGTTCCTGCTGTGGCTATGCCCTCTGCATAGCAGGATGGTGACACAGCTGTGTAGGGTGTGAGAACACACACACTCTCTCTCTCTCTCTCCCTCTCTCTCTCTCTCTCTCTCTCTCACACACACACACACACACACACACACACATGAATGTTTGTAAACCGGCAAAGGCATGGTTTCAAGGTTTGACATTTCAGAGATTTAACTGCAGTCTCTGTAACATTAGTAAAATAATAACCTATGCCAAATTAGAATGTCAAATAATGCTGTGGATAAGTTTGGACTCTTGACTGAATGCTTGTCTTGGCAGAATCTTGACCCTCAAGCCAGATACACTCAGTTCAATGTCAGAAGTGTCAGTTTCTATATACAGTGATGCCTCGCAAGATGAATGCCTCACACAATGAAAAAACTTGCAAGACGAAAGTGGTGTTTTTTTGGTGACTCGCAAGACAAATTTTTCTATGGCCGTGCTTCATAAGACGAATTAATTAAATTTCAATGCATTCCTATGGGAAACCGCGCTTCACAAGGTGAAATTTTCGCAATATGAAACGACTCGCGGAATGAATTATTTTTGTCTTGCAAAACTACAAGTCTACAAAACATTGTGGTGATGGTGGTGGTGGTTAAAAACATGAATCTGGCTTCCATCTCATTTACACTATGCAATATTGCCATCACTGTATTCTTGCATTTCTGTCAGGAGAAGGGCCCTGAGAATGTCATCTTTCCCAGCACTGTAATACTTAAAAATACAAAGCATTCTTTTTAAAGAAGAAAAAAGATTTGTGGGATTTGATAATTCAACAGTTCAGGATACTGAAGGACTGCTGCTGAAATGCCCCCAGTACTGTTTCAACATATATTTTACATCTGGAAACATGTTCCACTTCTTCACTACTGATGCCAGACTCTCCCTCCCTCACGCCACATCTCTCCCCTATCAGAACTGCCAGCACTTTAGCAAAGCATCTGACCTTGCCAGAAAACCTGTGAGAGATGGTATGATCTCATAGAGCTCAGTGGTTCTTGAAGAAGTCCCATCACAAACACCCTTGCACCAGAGAGAACCGCGACATCATCAACAACAGAGGGATAGGGATGGAACCTGAGCCTCTTTCTGACCTCAACAGTCTACAAAACATTGTAGTGATGGTGGTGGTCATTAAAAACATGAATCTGGCCTCCATCTCATTTACACTATGCAATACTGCCAGGATGCGTTTTATGTTAAAGGCTTCTCCCTACTGCCACAATTCAACAGTAGTATGTGGGGTGGGAGCATAAGTGTGTGAGAGTGTTTGTATGTGAGAGAGTCTAATGATACAGGAACATTACAAGATGCCACACACTGAATCTGACCACTGGTTTATCTGGACTAGTACTACCAGCTATAACTGTAGCAGTTATTTCCTGGTGTTCCAGGTCTACCTGGAGATACTGAAGAATAAACTGGGCTTTCCACGTGCAAAATTTTTTCTCCACCACTGATCTGTGGCTCCTCTCGCTTGTGCATGCATATAGGTATATCTGCCTTCCTACAGTGTGTTAGGATGTGCACCTGTATGTATGATGAGCAACATTCCCTTTAATTTTCCAGAATGCTGGGACGCTATGCAGGGGCTTCCAGCCATGACTGGAAGCAAATGGGCGGCAACATTGGATCAGTTACGTGGCCCTGATGCAGCACTGTGTGGGTGTGCACATGTGCAGCTTAGAGGGAGCATTGATGATGAGTGATATATATGTGCACAGATGCACACAGAGATACAGTATGAAGCCCCCTGGCTGCCAATACAACGCCCTATGCAGTCCTAAGCCTAAAGGAAATTTCCCCACCTCTGGTTTAAAGGGTTAACTCTTACAAAAAAAAAAAAAGATACAGCCTGGTTCTTGAAGAGCTTGTTTGACTGCCATCACTCCTAGCTCAATACACTATTTAAGAAATGATCTGAAATTAGAAAGAGGGCCACCTGTCTAAATGACACAATATTAATAGCACTAAAGGCAGAGAAATGGGATCAGACAGACAGAAACTAGCTTAAGGCCCTCCCAGATGATTAGAAAGCATTTCTTGATATTGTTGTCAAGTGCACAGTAGGGCTTTGGTAGAGGCTATTCCTTGCTATTTCTCTTTTGATGTAAGTTTTCACTGTTCTAATGATTTAATTGAAATGAGAAATAGTAATGGCTTAAGCGTTTTTGCCTGAAGGAAAACGGTTGCTTTAAAAGGTTTTAAATAACACCATACCAAGAGGAACTGTACCATCCTGGCACATAAAAACTGAAATATCTTCTACCTGTATGCATTGTTAATGGATTGTCATAACTATCTTGTCTCACCGAGTTGAGTTATTAACATTCTGAGCCACTGAGCTAGCCTATGCTTCTTCTGACAGATTCCAAATTTAACTATGTACCTCATCCTTTAGGGTGGACACATCCTTTCAAAATATACACTAAATATTCCTTTTATGTAGATTATCAGTTTATTGGCCCTCATCCAGTCTACTACTGTGCCCAGCTACCAATTAAGAAAATTCACTGTTTCACTTGGATTTAATGAAAGGAGATACAGAGCTGATACATATTTGTGTATCAGTGACATCTAGTTTGAGTCCCTGAATAACCTCTCTCAGCAGTTTCATGGAGATGTTAAACAGCATGGGGAATAAAGTAGAGCTCTGTAGAGATCCCCATCCCAGTTTTAACTATTAAGGGACTGCTTCCTTTAAAAAAACTTTTCAGTTAGATCCACTTGGTAAATACAACTTAGGGCCATCCCACATTTTTAAGGCAGCAAATATGCATTTGCCTCTGAATATACATTTGGCAGAGAACTGGAACCAATATTCATTAATACCTCCACACATTTCCAAATACCAACATGCAATTGTCTCTAAAACATTAGTTTTCTGGAAACAAATAGCCACGCACAGGCGGACACACATACATACACCTCTCACACACGGCCCCCACAGGTATATCCTCAAATGAAGCATAATTTGTTCCCCTTGTCATGTGCCCACTTGACAGGGCACCTCAACAAATCTTGGCTCTGATAGTGCATGCCTCTATGGTACACATTTTCAAACATCTGTTTTTTGGCTTGCACCTCATAGAGTTCTTTCAGGCTTTCCAATAAGATAATGCTTTACATTGTTTGTACAAGTGCCACAGCCAAGCTGTCAGTCATTTGCTAAGGGAGAGGAAGAAAGAAAACACCTGGAATAAAGATGTGCAAATTCTGAAAAATGATATTAACTAAACTTACCACCATATTTTTGTTTCACCTTAGATATTGCTTTGCCCAAGTAAAGTCATTATGCACAGAGTTCCGACAACATGAGCAAATTACCACAGAACAGAGTCAATTATGTTTCAAACAGAATAAGCAGAATCTGCTCCATAGGGAACCTGGGAAACAACACTTGTACATAATGGTGACATACAGTTTATTTTTATTAGTAATTATTTATGCTGATTATTTTATGACATATGTTCTTTTTATAATCTGAGTTTCAATTTCAATTACTGTGCCTTTTGATGATCAGCACATAGAAACAGGGTTTAAATTTATTTCTGCCTTCACACTATATTTTTACATGCACCTTAAGAATATTGGGTTCCTCTAGTCTTTCTCAAGCAAACCTAACTCTGGGGGGAGCAGGAAGAGTACATGACA